ATTTGCACAGACTTGTTAATTTTCTTTCTGTTTGAGACATAAAGATGTGATTTCAAATACCTAATTAAGAACAATACAAAATTGTTAGCAACCTTAAAAAAAAGTAAGGTGAACTATTAGATATTTCTGTAGTCCGCATATTGGAAAGATTTTTCTCCATCTTTTGGAGGTAGATAAATACACCAGTATTCTCTTTTCTTGTGTGCTAATGGTCTGTTTTTCGTGTATCAATTGTCAGTTCAGAAAACCTCCTGGACCCTTCTTTGTGGTTAGAAGAGACAGTTGCTAGAAGATATGCCAGTGCCAGGACCCAAGGCAAAGATCGGGTGGTCTTGTACATATTCACTTGGAATCTAAAAGTGAAGACCTTCCCAGCTGGGTCAGTCCTTGGCAAAATATTAAAGTGAATCAAGTTCATATTTGGGGGCTTTTATTTCCTATTTTCTTATTTATTCTCTGCCTATCCAAAGTGTTAAGCAAAATGATTGCTTTTTGCTTGATGATATTGTTTGAGTAACAGTAAAGCATTGTGGATAAGGACTTAGGATACAATTCTCCCAGAGGATCATTCTGTAACTTTTAATTTTAGACTCACAAGATGTTGTGAAATACTACAAGAGGTCCCATAGATCCTTGACCTAGCTTTGCCTAACGGAATCATCTTATATAACCATAGTACATTATCAAAACTGAGAAATTAACATTGCCAGATACAGCCAACTAGACCATAGACAGAGGAAATTTTTAAGAATAAAACTTTCTCAAGGATAAAAGGAAATCTTTTCTGAATCTCAATGTCACCTTCCCACCCCACCCCCTACTGTGCACACCTAGGATTTTGCCCTTTTCTCACAACTTGGTGATCCTAGATACCTTTTTCTTCTCCACTCCAACCTTTTAGAGGAGGGATCATGCTGTAGCCATCCTTTAGTCTTATTGTTTATTAAAGTAACTGGCATTCAATAAACATTTTTGAGTTAAAGGGTGACTAACAATTGCTTAGGTCTATAAGGGGCTTTCTGTTTTCAAAGCCCCCTTATTATACACATTATCTCTACCGAGAACATTCATAGTCTAGGAGAAATACTGCAGACAATGATTCAAAATTTGGTGTTTATTAGGTTGAGCCTTGTGACAAGGTAATGAATGTCCTTGGTCTTGCCTTGCTCACGTGCTTAATTACATCTACCTAATCGAGTTGTTGTGAAGATCCAAGGAGGTAATGTACGTAATAAAGAATGAAACACAGGGGCTCTGGGAGGTAGAGAGGGCACAAGACTTTATTGCCATTTCACAAACTAAGGCTCAGAGGGTAAGTCCTTGTGGACAGTCATAAAGCTAGTACAGGGTGCTGTTGTCAAGAACCTTAAATCTTGCATGACAGCACACTATCTTTCCCAGGCAACAGGAGATAATGTTAATAAGCAAACCATCAGAAACAACCATGGGGTTAGTTAAGGAGATTTAAGATGTTGTCCTAATGTGGCTGACTTCTTTTGCTATATGCCCTGGAAATCCTCTCTTTGGTAGGGCTTGGTGATGGGATAAGCCAACAGGTGAGTCATGGGTGTGGGTTGCTGGGTTGGGGGCCCCTGTCAAGCTCCCTCCAGCCCACCCACTGTGTGGAGAGCATGTAGCCAGGAGTCCTGCTTGCCCAATTCTGCTTCTGGAAGGCATGGAGGGAGGAGGACTTGGCATTCCCAAGTATTCACAGTGCATTATCAACATTATTTTAAAAATCCAAAGATACATTTAAAAAGTTTGAGGGTTTTGACAATTATTGTCTTCATCACTATTACCTATTTTCTGCTCATGAAAATAATTTTCAGATAAGCAAAAGCTGAGATAATTCAGCACCACCAAACCAGCTCTTCAACAAATGCTAAAGGATCTTCTCTAGACAGGAAACACAGAACAGTTGTATGAATGTGAACCCAAAACAACAAAGCAAATGGCAACGGGACCATTCTTATCAATAACTACCTTAAATGTAAATGGGTTGAATGCCCCAACCAAAAGACAAAGGCTGGCTGAATGGATACAAAAGCAACACCCCTATATATGCTGTCTACAAGAGACCCACCTCAAAGCAAGGGACACATACAGACTAAAAGTGAAGGGCTGGAAAAAAATATTCCAC